TAGATGTTTTTGATACCTTGGAACCATCTTGTAAGGGGAGACTGCTTTCTAAAACTTTGTCATTGAATTGCCCACATCAGTGAGGAAAGCCTCTTTGTAGTCAGTGTATATATGTGAGTGCTTTTAGTCAAGACATACTGCTTTCTATAGGAAATTAAAATCTGGGTAATGAGCTCACAAAATCTATACATATTTAACATAATCACAATATAAGGACATACTGAGATGTCTTTCTGGAGCACTTCATTTGACCCTATCACATAAGTCACCTGAGTTTGGTAGGAACGCAGCTGTTTTGCAGTCTTTCAACATTAGCACCAGAACATGCCTAGGTCAACTTCATGACTATGGTAAATCTCACAGCAGTGAGAACTTGCTCTAGCATTCTGGACAAGTAAAGTACAGAACATACTTTGTTACCAGGCTTTCATTCTCCTCCTGTATATCTCTTGCTCCATGAATGAAAATATCAACAACTTCAGGAGATACTCCCCAGATATGGCTTCTCCCTAGTGGAATTACCAATGTATTTAACTAAAGCAGTATGAAAACTACTCTTGTAAATCTGAGGTTTATGATGGCATGGTCAGTTTTCTAGAATCCAGATGGTACTGTGCAAATAAGAGAGGAAGAGGGAGGAAAAACTACTTCTGTACTCCACTAGTTCACTTAGGCAATATTTCTTAAGTACCTTGATGTTCACAGGACTACTTACATCAGCGTGCAATAGAGCAGTGGTTCTCAACTTTTCTAATGTCGTGACCCTTTAATACACTTCCTCATGTTCTGGTGACACCCACAAAATTATTTTTGTTGCTACTTCATGACTGTAATTTTGCTGTTAATGAATCGTAACGTAATGTAAATAAAAAAACACAGATATTTATATTATGATTCATAACAGTAGAAAATTATAGTCATGAAATAGCAATGAAAATAATTGTATGGTTGGGGATCACCACAACATGAGGAACTGTATTAAAGGGTCGCTGCATTAGAAAGGTTGAGAGCCACTGCAATAGAGTGAGAGGCTGGATTACAAAGTTGAGCACATGGTTTGGGCTGTGTGAGTCACTACTTTCTCTGATCATTTGGAAAATTACTGTGCTCTGCTGCCAAAACATAACCATATTCCTGGACAGGAAGGGATGCTGAAGCCTCCAATGTTAAAGTGTTAGAGCAGCCTGTTTTGGGGGACAGCTTTCTGCTTTGTTAATGAGTATCCTGGCTGAACCTGTAGGAAGAATCTGAAATATGAATTAGAAACAGCACAAAAGAAATCTTGGAATCTCAGAAGAAAGGAGACCTGGGAAAAGACCTTAAGAAATCACTGAGCTCCATGCCTCATAGCACATCTACATTTATTATAGATGAGAAAAACCTTACTGGCTTTTCCTCAAACAATTCAGGTAGGATGTATTGTATTCTTTAAAATGCAGTTTCAGAAATAAATGCAACTATTAAATTTACTATTAACTGCTTTTGCCTTCTTTCCCTTACTTAGTTTCCTTTGAAGAAATATTTAAACACACACACACACACACACACACACACACACACACACACACACAAAACAAGTATTTTATAAAATGAGATTCACAAATTCTCATTAAAAGATGCTAAAAATGACTGAACTCTGGTTTTACAAAAGGGACATTATTATATATTCATTATTTGTCCTGCCTTAGAGATTTAAAACCTTTTCTCTAATCCTGTAGCATCCTTTCCTCACATATTGATAGACTGGCCCCGCTTCAACTTTCTTATATTTGCAGACTATTTCTTTTGAAACAAAAACTAACAACTTTCCATTTCCAATAAAACAAACAAAGCAGGCTATGAAAACTACCAGTATTTCAATCTGAATCGTGGGCTACCAGTCAGCTAGCACAACCTTACAATTCAGAGAAAAGCAAAAGACATTTTTAAAGAATTGAGGAGGGGGGGGAGTGCACAGTGGCAAGGAAGCAATGATAAAATCTTGAAATTCTCCAAATTTATATATGCCATTAAACTTTACTATAAAACCCCTCAAATAAATGTGTTTCTAATATTAGCTTAAAGGAAGCTGGAGTATTGAGAACCATTTGCATAATAATGACAAAGTTTCAGGGAAGCAAAATAGACTCAACTAAACTTAAATTCTAATTCCTGAGCAGCTTCTGAGTAATGAGCCTGAACAAGTCAGAATTGTCCTGGTCCTCTTCTTCAACAGTGGAAAAGGGATTATGTAAAGATTTTTTATTTTTCTGAGAAATTTACAATGTAACCTATGGTTTCTCAAAGTTTTCCTTCCATGGAACCACACTGGGGAAGTAGGGTGAATATATTCTCCCCGTAGCTGTGAATTTAGCCTGAAGTTGCCCATTTCTCTTTAACATTCATATATATTTGAACTGTATGACATAAAATATTTATCTCCCTGTAAAAATACAAATGCTCTAAATTACTGGCCACTTAAAATCATGTTACCCCCATATTAGGCTATGCGCTAAACTGCTATATTAAGATTCCAAATATACTTGTTAGAACAAGATATTTTATTTATCATGTTAACAGGCTGGAAATAGTTCGTTAAGTTTATCAGCAAGATTGCTCCATAAGGACATCATGGACCCAGCTTCCTTCCATGTTGTTGCTCCCTACCTTTAAGGAATAATCTGCTCACTCAAAGCTCACTCATCTCCAAATCTATGTTTCAGATTTGGAGATACAGAAAAGTGAAGATGAGTATCATTTCCACTTACATTTCATGGGTGAGACCTAGTCATATGGCTGCAGTAGCTGCAAAGGATGGGAAACATAATTTCCAGTTTCCATGTGGCTGGCAAAAATTAAAATAAAAGTGATGCTACAGAAATAAATACCACATATATGGATATTATATATGAATAGAAAAAAAAACTTCCATAAAATCTATTGAAATTTCACTAATGGCCATTTCTGAATTATATGATTCTATAAATTTAGGTTACTTATAATTTTTGGTATCTCCTAATTAAAAATAAACATATTTTATAATTGAAGAATTATATGTATTATTTGTAATAGATACAGAAATAGTACATTAGTTCCTTTTTAACAAGTAATTCTACTTTTATTCAATCCTCATGTCAAACACTCATGCAAGGCAAATTTATTTGTTAAGATAATATGTTCAAGTCCCTACTTTTCCTCTCACCAATATTGTTTCTATTAAAAAATAACATGCAGTTAATACTTTTGGGGAATGATATCTTCTTTGACTTGTGTATCAAAACAAAAGTGGTGCCTTATGGAAGAAAATGACCTGCAATTAAATATATTTCAGAAAAACATATGTTCTTAGTTGGAATTAGACCTTCTACTTGTCCTTTCTTCAATGCCTGTGGTCAGACTTCCTTGAACTATTTACTACATATTTGTTTAGGTTTAGATATACACTTTGAAACTATAAAACCAGCTCTTTTAGGGGGCATAAAATGAGCTACCATTAGAAAATTCATTTTCAACTATCACATTTAATTTAGATACCTACATTAGGAGTTAAGTTGGCCATGCAACCAAAGAAAACTTCTACCTATCCATATGGTCAGGAAGGCCTAACAAATTCAACTTGAGATGATATATGTTTATTTGTACATAAGAAGTCTAAAAATATTTTGGTATATTTATCAAAATATTTATAGTAGGAAGTTCTCTCTGTAGTCTGGCAGAACAGCGTATAAATAAATAAGACAGATCTATCCCATAAAATACCTATGGACACAAATCTCATTATATTAAAAATATGTCTTCCAGAAATCCTGTCAATGGAAGTTTGAGTTTAAAAACTTTTAAAATCAATCAACTATGGACAGCAACTACAACATTTATTTTCTGAAATACTGAAATAATCCAAACTGCCAATTCTTATAAGCAACAACATAAAAGCACAAATATAAATCAGGGAATAAATTATATCTATTGAATATTTATTTGAGAGACATTTAACACTTGTATTACTCAGATACCTCATATAAAGAATGTAATTTAATATCAATGGATCTTTGTTTAGGACATTTCTGAAATAAAATTCCTTCATGTGAAGAAAAGGCATTTTGAATCTCTCTCTCTCTCTTTCCTTCTCCCCATCCCTCTCTAACTTTCTGAAAACAATAAATTCAATCAATATTTTTTAGAGTCAGACATGCTCATATTCATATATATTCATAGCATATTGTGCACTTTAGTTCAACTACTTCTGAGACAAACATTTTATTGAATGAAATGAATTAACATATTTACAAAAAGAGAACATAAAAGCTATGTTTTGAAATTTTAAGGATAATCCTACAGCACTCATTACAATTCTTTTTCTTCATGATTTGAATCTGTCTCCCATATTATGAAATGAATCATTATTAATCTGCAGTAGAAAGAAAATCATACCAAACCCTGAACTGTTATTAAATCATTAAACTCAAAAAAAAGTAAAAATGTGCAGAGAAGCTCACACTGGAATCACTGGATAGCTACTACCAGCTCTATTTTTAATTTCTTTCCTATATTATTTCCAAAGCAAAATATACTCATTATATTCAGGAATGCATGGGGCTGCTTTCTTATTTTTATCAATGTAATTGTTAAGTTCTGTATTCTATGGTACTCAGTGTACTTTATATCTATGGACTTTCCTTGATACCTAAAGGTATCATCAAGTATGTAAAAAATGCATCTAGGCAATAAAGCAAAAATATGACAGTAAAGGCAATATGGTGTTCACTTTGTTTTTTTGAAAGCAAAAGTATTCTTAACAATTGCTTGCTTGCTGTTGGCTCATGGAACTAGAGAATGTATATGAGAATCTTAGTCCTCAGAAAATATTTCCCTTAGCTACTACTTGTCTTAGAAGTGATAAACCATATAATTTACAAGAAGAAAACTACTGAATCCTTCAGAAAACACAACCTGGCAGTCTGTCTTCAAAGCAAAATGATGAGGTGGCAGGTGTGTGATGCAGAAAGTGGTCTTCAGTAACATCAGGTAAGAGAATCCAGCTGTGCCTGGATGGTCTCTAGCTATTTACAAAGACAAAAAGAGAGAGAGAGAGCTGGTAAAGAAAGAGAAATTTATATGAAGTGCTGTTTAGAAACATGCAAGTAGAAGGGAAAGGATGACACTGAAAATTATGCTTATTAAATCCATTCACAGCAATAAATACACCACTTACTTTTTCCTCTTTTTTTGTGATGATATTAGAATTAGTGCTTGCTAAATTTTCAAATTTGTAAAAGAGGATTTCTAAATACTACTGTTTTAAGTACACCCAGCTGTTTCATTTAAATGCTCATTATATATGACTTTTAAAGGTGAGTGTGGGGAGGAATTTCCTGGATTACAAAATCAGTATTTGGAAAGAATCATCAAAAATACTCAAAGATAAATCTTTAAGGCCTGGCAACTTCCTTTTCTTTTGCAAACAGAAATTAAAATATTTAACATTACTTTATATCTAATGTGCCAGTGTGGCTAGGTACCACATAAGTCATTACTTATTGTTTACAGCAATACTCCTATTGCTTTAATTATAACCATTTCCATTTTCTTCCTGATTTAGTTTGTCAGATTCTCATCTCAGCAATGCTTCCTACTGTGAAACATAAGGTGTTTACAAGTCAACTTTGTTCCATAATAGGGAATATAAAATAAGAATTCATAAATAAAGGAAACATTAGGGGGGAAAAAACCCCACTTCTTAGAAATTACTTTTAAAATACTAACCTTGTTATAGAAATCAAACAACTCCTTGTGATTAAATTCCACAAGAACTTTCTCCAGACTCTATAAGAAAGAAAAAGAAAAAAGAATTTAGTTGTACACAATTTATAGTTTTTTCCTATCCAGCTAGTCCCCAAATATGCCATCTTATTCTGAGTAGGTTTAAAAGAAATACAACATAAATGTTACTTGCTCTACTTAATATCATTGTTCCTAGAACTCACAAACGCACTTAATAACACTCCACATTAACAAGAGGTTTCAACTCTATAGAGACATCTGTTCTTTAGTTGACTTGGCAAAGTTTAATAAAATAGATGCCAGCAAGAGAACAATTTCATTACCTATCTTTTTAAGACAGAGATAATACATGAGATTATATTTCATCTTTCTCAGCAGTCCATTTGAAATCTGGTAAATGCCATTACATAAAGACACCGGGGGCGGCATATCTGATTGGATCCATCCAGCCATTAATGCCTCACCTCAGCACTGCTGCTGTCTCTAAGCAGCTAACAGTTATGATCTTACCATGCTGAGATTGCTACCTTTTTCAATGTACAGACTCAGCAAAAGTTAACAATTAACACAACAGCTACAGAGCTGGGACTTAAACACGTTCCTTTCTTTTAACCCACAACGACTTAGAGAAGTCCTCAAGAATAAGGGAGGAGGCAGCCAATCAATGACTTTCTCTCACCATTGGTGTTTCTGTTTGCTCTCCCTCTCCCTGAAATCAATAAAAACATGTTAAAATTTGCCGAAACCGGTTTGGCTCAGTGGTAGAGCGTTGGTCTGCGGGCTGAAAGGTCCCAGATTCAATTCCAGTCAAGGGCATGTACATTGGTTGTGGGCACATCCCTGGTAGGGGGTGTGCAAGAGGCAGCTGGTCGATGTTTCTCTTTCATTGACGTTTCTAGCTCTCTATCTCTCTCCCTTCCACCTCTCTGTAAAAATATCAATAAAATATATATTTTTTTAAAAAGTTAAAATTCTAAAAAAAAAAAAAAAAAAGAATAAGGGAGAATATAAAAGTGGTTTTAAGTGTTTAGACATGAAACACTTATCTTTATCTTTAGATTATGAGAATTTATGTTTATCCTTGGAGTGGCCAAGAGCAATTGTTCTTTAGGAAGGTAGCAATGGAGTCTAAGATAAGGCTAAAAATGAAAGGGGAGCTGGCCGGTGCCCCACATTGCCATGTTCTGGCATGAAACCCCAAAGAGTCTAAAATTTTAAATTCAAATCTGGCCTTCTAAGACATTATTAAGGTATATTATCAAGAAAGGAGTAAGACCAATTTCATTTAACAGGTTGGTAGCTTTATTTATGATTCTAAATTTAGACATACAGTAGGTCCTCGGGTTACATCAGAGATCTGTTCCTACAGCATGACGTAACAACTTTCACTATAAGTCAGAACCCACCTACATAAGCACCTATGTCACTCACCTGGAGCACACACACCAGTAATGAAGTGAAACAGTAAAAAAAAAAAAAAAAAAAAAAAAAAAAAAAAAAAAATTAAAAGAAAGATAAATTCCTGACCTTTACTTGTGGTAAATAAATAATAAAAAACATAAAGCTCATATGTATATATGATGAAACTTTTTTTAATAAATAAGTGGGAGATGGTGGCGTAACCACGGAAGGATGTATGTCGTAACCCAAGGACTATCTGTATAGTCCATGGCTCCATTTTTACTTTTGCTTCAGGTCCTGATAAAAAACTTTTCCATGACATTTTAAGGAAAAAAATACTCCTGGCTTCCCTTTTATAAAATCTGTGATATTTTATCAACCTTTCAATCCTTGAGAATATAATTAGAAAGTCACAAATTTGCTTATTAGCAAACCAGAATCAACTCTCTAATTTTATTGTTTATTCCTTCAAAAATTTTTGGAAGGGTCTGTCCATTAAGGAAGTTATGTTTTCAAACAACTTCTTTTAAGTTTACTGTCAGGACACAAAGCAATGGTAATCTAGACCCAACAAGAATGTAGGAAAAGCATTATGTGTAATGAGAGTTCAATTGTTTGTATTTAAGGGGTGCATCTCTTTGGATTGTCTAGCTCTACATATATCTTCCAACACTTTATATTGCCCTGGACTTTAAACCAAATTCGGGTTCATTAGTATCTTTGTTAAGGGAAGAAGAGGAGTAAATATATTAGAATCCAAACCCTCCATATCTCAGCTATCAGTAACAACTCTAATAGCAGGTTTTCTGGAGGAAGATGTAGACAATCCTGGCTGAAATCATTTTATAGGCTGAATTTGACAATGGATTTAATTATTCACTTGCTTCCTGTCTATCACTGTCATGAGATAATGAGACTTGATTAGTTGATCCTACCCCATCTTCCCACCTCAAAAAAGTCAGAAAGATCGTCTGGATAATAAGATGTAGCCTATCTTATATAAAAAAGGCTAATATGCAAATCAACTGAACAGCAGAACAACAGTCACTATGATGCACACTGACCACCAGGGGGTAGACGCTCAGTGCAGGAGCTGCCCCCTGGTGGTTACTGCACTCTCTCAGCGGTAGCACTGATTAGCCAGAAGCTGGGATCATGGCTGGCGAGTGCAGCAGTGGTGGCGACAGCACTAAGGATGTCCGACTGCCAGCTTCTGTGGGGAGCAGGCCTAAGCTATCAGTTGGACATCCCTCAGAGGCTCATGGACTTCGAGAAGGTGCAGGCTGGGCTGAGGAACCCCACCCCAACCCCCAAGTGCACGGATTTCATGAACTGGGCCTGTAATTATATAATACTAAGAGAAATATCTTAGTGGCATAAAACTACCTTTGAAAGTTACCAAATGTATCAACTTGTCAATCATATAAAACTACTTTTAAACTAAACAACTCTAATCTTACTTGGTGAAACCAATTAAATATAAATATTTTAATATATGTACATATAACATATATATCTAGATATATGTACATACACACTTTTAGATAATATGGTTCATTTTTTTAAAAATATATTTTTATTTTTTTGTAATATATTTTTATTGATTTCAGAGAGGAAGGGAAAGGGGGAGAGATAGAAACATCAATGATGAGAAAGAATCATTGATTGGCTGCCTCCTGCAGGTCCCACACTGAGGATTGTGCCCTGACAGGGAATCAAACTATGATCTACTAACCAGTAATCGAACCATGACACTTAACCACTGAGCTATGCCAGCTGGGCAGCACTTCACTTTTTTACATAGTCAAGTGTTTAAGAAAAAAGTTTACAAGAACATTACATCCTCATTCTTCCAGTAACCAGGTAAAACGATATGTTCATACAAGGAAAATTGTATTTTAAGTAAAAACATGTTAGAGAAAGAACAAAGAGTTTATAATGTCTTCCAAAGGAATATAATGTCTAGATAATTAATAAAAAGTATTTATGGGAGGGCTTTTAGTTGCTTGTTTATTCAACAGAATTATCAGTGAATACTGATATTTAAAAACTTACTAGATTTGTGTGTGTTTTTTTTTTTTGTTTGTTTTAAAAATATATATTTTATTTGATTTTTTTTAACAGAGAGGAAGGGAGAGGGAGAATTAGAAACATTGGTGAGAGAGAAACATCAATCAGCTGCCTTCTGCACAACCCCACTGGGGATGTGTCTACCACCGAGGTACATGCCCTTCACCGGAATCGAACCTGGGACCCTTCAGTCCACAGGCCGATGATCTATCCACTGAACCAAACCAGTTAGGGCTAGATTTGTGTGTGTGTTTAAAAAAAGAAGTAATTTTATAATATCTAAATAGGCCAAGATATTGTTATACATGCTCTCCACTTAAATGAATACCTTTTAAACATAAAAATAAAGTACTTAAATAAGATAGTTTTATTTCACTTTGTTCTTGTTTTATTTCACTTTGTTCTTGCTATTGTTTTATTGGAGATTAAGAGGGTGGTTGATTTGTACTGTGTCATCCACACAATTGCACGGTCCCTCTTGAGACAAAAGTAAGATGGAAGCCACTGCTAATGATATCTGCAGTATGGAGCAGGGTAACATTTTTTTAGTCTCCTTTGTTCTAAGCAATCTTCCTTGATCTAACTTACTAGTTTTATTTCTCACAAGACCTTCCAAAAACCCATATTCCAACCAAATTGACGTACTTGCTATCTCCCACATATCCCATACTTTCTTCCCTGTTTTTGCTCATGTGGTCTCCTAATTTCAGATGAACTGTGGTTCTAAATAGGTAAGGTAAAACAAAAAACTAAAAGAAAGTATAAGTGAATATCTCCATTACTTTGGGGTATATAAAGTCTCCTTCAAAAAGACATGAAAATATACTAACTATGTAATCTTTAGTTGCATGTAAGATGTTAGTAAATAATATACTAACTATAAAGAAAATAATTGGTAAGTTAGAATACATTAGATTTCATCAAAACACATCATCGAAAGAGTCAAAAGGTTAGCTGCCAAGGCTCACATCTAAAATACATAAAAATACCTACAAATCAATAAAAGAGACAAAACTCAGTTTAAAAATGGACAAAAATATATGTAAAATCATTATATTATACATCAAAAGCTAACACAATGTTATATCAATTATATCCCAAATTTTTAAAAAGCCACCTGGGTGGTAGTGTTTGGCTTGGGAGAAGGAAGAAACTATCAGAAAATTCTTGTGATGCCAAATAGATTGTCCAAACTGACTACACTCTAGCTAATATGAATGATTTGGAGGCCTGGCTAGTGGTGTAATGCAAGAGGTGGAGGAATTAATAATTAGGAACACAGCCCTTCTCCTGGTAGACTTCCAGGCAGTTTCCCCGGGTGAGAAAGGTATCCACGAATGCCTTGGATTGACAGGTATTCTCTGGTTAAAGAAAAAAAAGAAAAAAGACAAGAGACTTGAACAGACACTTCACAGAGGAGGATGCCCAAATAGCAAAAACATACAAAAATATATTAGAAACCATACTGCTGGAAGGGATGGAAATTTGTATAACCATTCTGGAAACTTGTTTGGCAATATTTACTAAATATATAAATATATGCACAACCTACCCCAGAAATTTATTCCTAA